CCCCTGTGCAGGCACACATGCCAGTGGCGTCAGAAAGTTGGTTAGCCAAGTCAAGTCAAGTCAATGACTGACTGGAAATCAAATCTCCTCCGCCCCGAAAACGAACCCATTGAGGACGTTGGTTAGTGTAAAGAGCCGGGGCTGATGCTCGGAAAATTTCATAAATCAAAGTGCCGCCGGGAGGTGCGTGCAGCAGGACTCGAGTATCTGAAGGAGCGCCAGGATTCAATGCACGGCGCTGTAATTGCTTTATGCTCTGGAGCGTGATGCGGTCAACAACGCAACGTGAGCGAGCCATTTTTGACAGGGCCCAGAAGCTGCCACCCATCCCATCTCTTTCGGCTCGCACTCCCATACAAATTTAGTGAAATGGAAAAGTTGAAAAGTTTTATGATATTTTTTGGTTAGCTGGCCACTCGATGCTTTGCTCGGGGTTATGGCGCTGCAGGCTAAGACCAAATTCCAGCAGAGCTCGAAAGTCGGACATAACTTGTCGCATTGAGGTCAGCAGACACGATACTTTTATCCGAAAACTTCGAGACAACTATGTGTTTCCAAACGACATATTCCCAAATATTGCTGACAAAGTAATCATGAGAAAAGTGAATTAAATTTTAAAGAATGAAGCAACATTAAAATACTTGGTTGATATCAGAAAAAAGGTGAGGAAGTATTAGGAATCATTTTAAAATTGTTACTTATTTAAAAAAAATTTTCAAAAGAGCATCACTTGGTGTTAAATTTGATAAAGGCATTCCCACTGGAATTAGGGAAAAATTAAACTACGGACAATATAAAAATATTTCCATTCTTTACAAATTCTCACGAATACAACTGCATTTTTTGAAACTTCTGCGGTTATCACAAAAGGTCGACTGTTAGCAAAACTTCAAAAATTGCATGAGAGCGAGTAATAAATTATGCTGCCCCTCCATCTCCGGCTGTGTCATGTTTTATACGGCCCTTAAAAAATGATGTATATGCGGATGATAAAAAGAAGATTGCAAAACATCAAGCGAAACACCTCTGGCCAGAGTGCATCGCACTCGAATGTCAAAGCTAATAAGCAGCTTCGGTGGGAAATATTTTTCCCGGGGGAGAACTCTGTCGCCGTCCTGTTTCGTCTTTTTGCCGGCTGTTCTATTTCGTGGCAGATTTATGGGTAAATATAAAGCAAAGGTGATGACGTTGAGGCTAGGCAGGTGGCGAAAGTTTAGTGCCCACATGTGGGTGTTGCTCCCTATTTTCGCTTTTTCAGTGTGTTGATGGGACGGGAGGACAACAGACAGCGTGCATACTTTGCGGCTGGCTCTAATTAATGGAAGACTTTGCTGTTACCTTTCCGCCACTGTCGATGCATAAAGAAATTTTGCTAATTAAAAATAATCGCAATAGCAGAGCTGCACTGCAACTTTGTCTTTGGCTCGGAAAACCCTTCATTCCTCTCCTATTCTGATTCAGCCCAGGGAAATTCCCTGAGCTGGTCGGCCATTTCTTGTGATTATTTTAACAACTTGGCCATGTTGCTGCACTTACTGAAGACCCAGAGAGCCATTTGCACCGTTCACACAGAAAGAAATTATGATATTTATTATCAAAACAATTATCCAAATAAATCGAATTGTCTCAAAAATATTTTATGCACCAAAATCATATTATTTAAATGTAAAAATTAATTGTGACACAAATTGATATAGTTTTCTTTAATTCTTTAATTTCCGCGTTTAAAGACCTAACTTGAAGTTTAAAATAGTATATAAATACAATTTTTTATAAAATAATACCAAGGATAAATTTGACAACCTGTAATTGATTTTGGAAAATTGTAAAATAGACCTCGTCCCTATTTTTCCCTCTGCTAGAAGCCGTGGAAAATGCTCGCGGGCTGCAAGTAATTGTCTCTGGCTCGTTGCTTTGGATTTGGATTCGGATTTGGCGGCTTTGGCTGGCAACATCATTAAATGTGTATATAATGGAATTGCTGTGATTTGTTCCAAGCGGAAGATTTATTATCGCCCTGCCATTTTCCAGGCGAAAAAATCGGCATTATGTTCCGCATGCCTGGTGACAAAGTGCAGCCAGACGATGGCTTTCGTTTTCTGTTTCTGCGCCACACACAACAATCGGGGTCGTTTACATAAACACTTTGGGAATTTATGGCTCTTGGTTGGCGTGTGTGTCTGTCAATGGCAAAAGTTTGTGCATTTAATTTGTGCAAAATTTGCTTACAACTCAAATTGAATTAACCTGATGACTCAGTGGAATGCGGGGCGGTGTTCCGCCGACTGGTTTCGACCCGAATCCGTCAGATTATTCAGTACTCACCAGGGCAAAGTCTCCGAGTAATGCGGAATCCTCGTCCGAAACGCCATCGTTGTCGTGCAAGTTGAGCCATATGCCAACTGATTTGCATTTAAAGTTTTTCCCTTTCACAAGTTTTGCCGTGAACATATGCTCGAAGCCCTATTAGGTCTTCATCAAATTAAAATATGTCCGCCTCGATGTGAATGATGCTCGGAGCCATGGCTGAAATTAATTGCCTGCAAAACTACACCGAAGTCATCCGGGTGCTGTCTCAGCTAAGGATGAAGGTGCGCAATTTCGCAGTAATCAAATAAATTAAAAGTTGACCAAGGACCCAGAAACAATGGAGGAAGCTGCAAAATCTCTTAAGTCTCAGTTGAGTTGTTCAAACATCTGTGCAAATGTGTGCGGGTTTGACAGAGATTATATCTGGATTGCTGGATTCGGATTCGGGGACGTTGGAGCGAGAGCTTAGAATGAATTTGTGTGACAAAATGAAATACTTGTGCATAAGTGAAATTGTTTTACTTTGCGAATGGCCATGGCCAAGTCCGCAAGTAACAAAGTAAAATAATTGCCATATGTGTGTGCATATGTATTTTTAAAATATTGGCCGAGTGCTAAGTAAACTTAATTCCTTAATGGACTTTGCTGCATGTGTGAAATCAATTTTCAATTCTGGTTTGGGTGTCCTGTCAGAGAGCCGTATAATTACACTCATAATCCCCTAGCACATGGCATTAACCGTTGTTTACACTCGCATTGACCATCAACATTTTTAATGTTTATTGTTCGAGTGTTTTTTATGAATGACATTTATATTGACATAATCAAATGCGCTGAGATATTTATATTAAATAAAACCGGCCAGGCTTTAAGTGCACTTATTAAAGTGGCAAAGTTTTACGCAGATTGTGGTGATTTTCGAAATTCCCCAAATGCGCTGCGCTGTATCACCAGATTTGATCAACCACTCTGTTATTCTCCCTGTCGGGGGATTGAGTTTGCATTTAATACCTTTTACGTGTCCCGTTTGCTAATTAATGTCCGTCGCCGGCCGCTCGGTGTAATAAATTGGATTTGCTGTTAACATTTTAGTCAGTGTTTTGTCATTACCCGCTGTGGGGACTTGCTGTCAATTTTGCGGCGGCCGAAATGTTTGTTGGCCAGAAAGCCAGGGGGAAACACCCGCAAATTTCGGGTGACCACTTTAAAGGGAAATCGGAAAATTGGGAAATCGGGAAATCTCGGCTTTAATAAAACGTGTGCGTGATCAAACTTTGGCCAGCCAATTGCCGGCTTCTAATGCCCATAAATAGTTCATTGCATTTCCATTAGGCACTTTGCGGCAATCCCGACTGACTGCTCTGTTCGTTGACCTAATGTGTGCAATTCATTATGTGCAATTAGAGTTCAATTCACAGGCGCTGCCTGGTCAAAGTTCAAGGGTCGGCTAGGCCGGCCTCTTGAGGCCATAACACATCATTAATGGGCTCTGCGGCCTGGTTGCCAAAGAAAAGTGTAACAATAATGGGCTCGTTTGTTTTCATTGCACACGTGCCGGGGCCCCGGCTTTCGGCTTTGGTAAAATGTGCTCTTAATAGACACAGCATTTCTGGCCATGTTTTTGCTGGGCAAACATTTGGCCAGGTCTCCTGTCGGCGGCAGCCACTATTCCCCTTTCAATGAGCCACTCTTGTGGTCCGGCTGATGGCTCCGCTTGTTCCGTCGACTCGGAGCGGTTCGAAAAATTAAATTAAATGCGTGAATGCATATTTAATGGTGCGAAAATGTGTGGAATCTTTTTGAACTTCATTTTTGTGCACACCTGGATAGTGGGTTCAAATTTGGGTGGATTATCGCGGAATTTTTTCCCATTTATCTAATTTTAAAAGCCATACAAAAAGGCATAATACGTAATATGCATTACGTATAAATTTTGACTTGATATGTGGCATCTCAATTTGATGTGATCGAAATGTAGACAACATATTCTAAGAAAGGCAGTTGAAATTTCGGATGTCTTTCTCCCTCCCACTCATGTCAGCGCGAGTAAACTACATTGTTAAATTTCGAATGAACCAGTATTGTATGGAAAAACGATATGTGTATAAGTGTTTTTTTCTGTACTACGTACTTAAAGATATTACAATCCAATGCAAGGATAACAAAATTATAATATAAAATTCTGAGAGTCCTACAGGGAATTTTTGATTTCGCCACTCACTTTCAAACTCGCTGTGAATATTTTTTACAATGCATATCCTTTACCATAATTGCACGCATATTGCTTGCATTAATTGCATGTGATATTTTTACAGAGATTTTTTTTGGTTTTCATTCCATGCCTCTGTGGGTCCGCCTGATTGTTGAATTAAAAAATTAATGAATGATTTTTGAAATGCCGATGTAAATGGCTCTGTAAATAAAGTGCGGCAGCCTGTCTCGTTTTCAGATATCGTTTGATAAGTCCGCCTGATATTCCCCGGCTATTTTCATTATTATTAATTAACACCAGCGGCTTAAAGGAAGAAGTCCCCAAGGACACGTATATTGTTGACAGTGACAACTATGCGGCATACTTATTAAAGCATTAATTGTTGGATCACAGAGAAGCCCGCTTAAGTATGCCACTCAAAATAACTCAAACACATTTGTCTGCCGGCGCTGAAATTTCCGTAAAATAGTGACAAATTTACAATATGTCGGTTCAGTCCGTGAAATCCAACACCTCGTTTGCGGATGTCCTAAGGGGCATGAAAATTCCCGTAACCCGCCTCAGCGACAAGTCGAAGGCCAAGGCCGAAAGCAATGCCAAGAAGGTGGAGTATTTCCTGGTCAAGGCCAGGTCCACCTCCTTGGCTTCCATGGGAGGATGGGCCAGCCGATATGAGACCAATTGCCTCCGGGAGTTGGACGAGTGGTGCGCGCCGAGGCTCTCGTTCCGCGATGATGCCGATGTCAGTTTGCATCCCAGCTACGACATGAAGACCTTTCAATAGTCGGTCAAAAGCGATACTGTAATTTGTTATTTTTTAACCGCCCTATTTTACAGCGATCTTAATTGCTATGCGCGGTATCTGGACTCTAGGGACGAGTACAACATGCAGCTCTTGCGGGAAATGGAGCACTTTATTGCCAGTCAACGGACTATCCGCGACCAATTTTTTCTAAGGAAGTAAGCTAAGAGTTTTAAGTGATAGCCCAGAGTTTACCAGGACTTTCTTCGCATTTCAGAACCCTGTGCTACAAAACCCTTTGGCCCCCTCTGCACACGAAGCGGGAACTGAACAACTTTGTCTCCCAGTTCTTTCAAATGACTCCGAAGCAAAAGCGCCGTGTTGAGTATCTCCTGAAAACAGACTTTGGTCAGGGTTGCTAAAGTCTATTCAATTGGAAAGTAAATGATGCTATTTATTCCATTCGAAAAATGGTTTAATTAGCACATTTATTTTTGCAATTATTCCTGGCAACGCTTGAATTTTACTGTATGAAAAAATATGCAACCGATAAAGTTAATTATGCAATTAAATCTGTTTTATTTTCCAGTTGTGAAATTAATTAGGCAAACAAATTAGTTGGCTTACGGTGTATGGAAATTGTGAGCAGTAAGAAATTGTATTTCATATTAGCTTATTAAATTTTAATTAGATCTTTCTCGTCAAAAGCTTTATCGCTACAGGCAGTAAACTAAATAGTGCTGAATAAAATCCCCGTCTGTTTTCATTTTTCCGCTAAATTACATTTAAACAAGCGGTCGTTTGTGCATTTTAAATATTTGAGAAGCATTCATAAATAAATTCAAACAATAAATTATTTTATTGTCGAACTGTGTGACTATATGAATATTTTCATGTTTAAAAGCGCTGCAATTGTTTCGACCTTTGTTACAAGTTTCCGATAAAGGACACATGTGTGATTGTGTGCGTTGACAGGAAGTGCGTCATTTGTCAAAAGCTATTTTATGGCCATTTTTTAGCCGTTGAGTCGAGTTTTGTTTGCGCTGTGTAAACACCTGAAAAAGGTCAACTCAACAAATATTTACGCACTGAACAATGGCAGGGAGCCGTCATGTAAATTCGCTCTTAAATTCAATAATGTCCTTGGCTGGATTTCTTCTTTAAAATTAATCAAATACTTTTCAATTTATTGTTTGGTTTTTGCCTAGGCCATTAAAATAAACAATCATGAATAATTGTTCGGCTGAAAGTAATTTGCAAAGGTTTCACGATATGAAATCGGAGCTGTGAATGCAGTCAGGCCTGTCATTGAATTAAATATTTGTTTTCAATGTGACTTTACAATTTAAGGGCATTAGAGTATGATGTTTTAATCATTGCCTAAATGGCGATGAGCTTAAATTCTGTTTAAACTTTCATTCCGCTCCAATTCATGCAACACCCGATTCTAACAAAAAGTGAACACTTTATTTTTCTTTCTTTTCCAGGCGCAACCCGACACTTGGAGAGTGCCACAGACTATGATTCATGCTTGAGTGGACTTTTTGAGTGGACTTTCAACCTCGATGGCCAACTTCAATTAATGCTAAAGTTCCAGCGATTTTAAAGTCGGTGCCGAGAAGAAAAGCCCTCGCACGGGTAAAAAATCACAGTGGAAGCTCTGGCATCCGCAGCTCACAGCTATAAATTATAATTTCCGCATGCTGAGCTGCTTCCAGCCCCCACTTACGCTGCCATGCCATATATCCAATGGCCTGACCATCGTCCGGTCAGTCCCTGGTTTTATGATGCTTATGGAAAAAATTCCTGCCACTGCATGGCTGCAAGGTGTGCGCCAATTTCCGGCACATGTGAGCGTGTCCGTGTCGGTGTCTGCTCCCTCCTTTATATATATAATTTTAAAAATGTTTGGCCGACACCCATGTCCGTGCCCATACATACATATGTTGCCAGAAAATAGCCGGAGAAAAAATTATAATTAATAGTGCTCGAAAGGAGTGTCGGAAAAAACGAAGCTTATGCATAACTTAAAGCCACAAGCTGGCCATCGCAGAGCAAAGGATTTTTATTACGCATACGCACTGGGTGACCAGTAGTTGCAAGGGATTTGGATTACTCACTCGGTTAAATAGAATGGTTATTACCCACGCTCGCTGTGGTGGGCCCAATAGAACAGTGTGTATATGGCGTTTGGTCAATATTCAATGATTACCCTTTGAGAAATGGTAATTGTATAAATCATTCGAAATGGATAGTCATTTATTTTTATTCACTGAACCAGATTAACATAAGTCAGACCCAAGGGATAACCTCTGGAGCATATACATATTTATTGCCCTTTCGAACAGGGTAAACCCTATTTGAGTGAGCATTGAACTTGAGCGAGGTGCAAAACGTGATGAGATAGGTTATCCCACGTTTAACTTTAGCCTTGTGCCAATATCCTGCGATTTTAACGCAGCACAGCCAATTTCCCAGCATTCACATAAACGATCCTTCATTTCTGCCCCAACCCCTCAGCACAAAACCCACTTGCTGGTGTAATGAATGTTGTTTGTTTGTGTAACATATTTAACAACAAGTAGCAATGCTGAGCAATCATTGCTTGCCAACTCGTTTGTTTTACTTGACTGGGGTATTTGCACTGGCTGAAGAAGTTTGCTTTGGGGAAAGTATGATTAAGTCCTGCTGGGGACTTGAGTGTAAGTAATGTACATCTTGAATATTTGGTACGCATTTAAGTGCTTTGGGTGGTGTTTTGTTTTGTCGATTCAAGGCGATCAGCAGTTGAATTTTCCGACTTCATTATGAAGTTGCTTTTTGTCTGCTGAAACATCGGTTAATTTTTTTTTAGGTTTCCTACAAATAGATCTAAAAGGTTTTCAAATATTTAGTGCTAAAATCGTTTATTTATAGAGTCGAACAATAAATTGGTAACAATAAATATTTAAATATTCCCCCCTTTTATGATTGCTTCCGCCCGATTGCCGCACTCTAAATGAATATTATTTAAAAAATGCAATAGCAAGAGTAAGAAATTTCCTACGATTTCCTTTATTTCGTAGTCCATAACTTCCGACATCAAGATTTCGTGGCGCAGACATAAGCACCCACCCACACAGCCGCAGTTCGGCGGTGTCTGTGTGTGTGCTTGTGGTCCTAGTCCGCTGGTCGTAACTTCCGCTCAGAACGCACACCACTTGAGTTTTGTGTGGCATTGCAAAATGCATTTTATACGCAATAAAAATACACTTACGGGGTTTTTTACAGCTCGCTCGCTTTGAGGCAGTCCGCCGCAACGCCGCCACGCCCCCAAGCCGAGTCCGCCCTCCACGGCGATTTCATTTCTTTCGACGCCGTTTTTCTACTATAATATTTTCTACTTACAAAATAAAAACGAAAAGTCAGTTGGTCTGCCAGTGGCTTGTTTGTGTTGTGTTCTGTTGGTTAAGGAAATTTAATGAGCTACTTAATGTTGTTGTGGTGCAATTTCCACAGCAGAGTGTGTGTACATCCCTCTCCGTTTACGATTTTAACAAGTCGGTTGTTAAATAAATTTAAATTATATTGTCGCTCCCTTTACAAGCCGTTTCTGCGGCTCGCTGGTCATTCCTTTGCCACACAAACACATATTTTTTTCCGCTCACAGTCGCAGTCGGTGGAAAAGTGTGTGCTACAAGTTTATTAATACTGGCCCTGCCAGCGAACACTTAATCATCTCAATGCTCCGAGGGTCTGGGGCAGGGCTCCTGTAAAATACCGACAAAGAAGTGAAAAGAACTCGGGGAAGAACGAATGCCGAAAATAAACACAAATAAATTGCCTCATCATCGCATTTACCTGGCGGCCATATTTTAGCAGAAATGATTCGAAACTTTTGAGCCCGGGTAAGAGGCCTGTAATGCTTATGAGTAACCGCAAATTCAGCTCTCGAGAATGAAAATTTAATCAAACATTTTGCCATCGCCGTGCGGTTTCGACGACGAAAGCCTGAGACCATAGTTCCGGCATAGAACGAGTTTTTTAAATTTTTGGGCAACAAGCTTGAAATGCTTTTAGAACATTTTCAGGCATTCTATTTGAGTTGCCTGCAAAATGGCTGAGAATGCAAGTTCAACTTTTATTTTGTTCAGCACACAGGATCGGCAAAAACGAGGGAAACTGAAGCGACAAATTTAATTTTCCCAGTTGAAACTAAAAACTGTGCACAGAAGGGTCACTTTGCCAATGAGGGCATTCTAAGTCCTTTGCCATTTGATTGGCAGCCTGTTTGTAGTTTTGTGTCTCAATTTGTACTCCTTACATGCATATTTCAGCTGGCAAAGGTCACTGGGTAAGAGGATAGCTTGAGCCCCTCTTGATTGCCGTTTCGAATTAATTGTACCATTCATTATTCGGTAGTCGGAACCAAATAAACATAATGGGAGCACAATCAGCAGACGTAAAAATCAACTATCCTTTGGCATTTCGTGTGTGTTTGCACTGGCAATTGCCAATGCACAGCATGCAAAATTGGAAATGCAAATGCTAAGTAAATAATGTCATTGGAAAAACGGCAAATGCAAACTGCAAACGGCAAATGATGTGGCCGAGCCAGAATCGGCGGTAACAATCAGCAGGGCAGGCGCAAATCGCATTAGCCCGCTCCCGTGGCCTTCGATTCCGCCAACAGCAGTAATCAAATGTGCAGCACTCGCACTCGCATTCCCCTTCACCATATAGACCCGTCCAAATGGATTTCCAATACTCGATTGTTGGCTAACACAACTAAACTTCCCGTCTCCTTAAACATTATTGCAAATATTCCAAAATGCATAGATTTTCGAACCATCGAAAGCCATTCAAAGGCACGCGAGAGTCCGCGAAATCGACTTTGGCATTTGTGACGAGTGCATCCAGGCCAAAGTCATAAATTGCACAAAAATCGGGAATCGCTCTGGGTGGCTGGGGCACTGGTATCGGTTTATTTCGTTGGTTTGGCCTGGGTTCGAGTTGTGACAGTTTGCCAGTCGGGCTATGCATGTTAAATGAAATTATTGCAACTTTTTGCCCGGCCCACATGGCGTATGCGTAACGCTCGCTCAATTCATCAATCACCGAATTTGTCCCCCCGATGTTCATGTTTTTTGTTTGCTAAAAAATGGTTTAGATTTATGCGATTGCTGCCGCAGCCCAGTTTTTTTTTGTGTGCAACAACTAGCTGCTTGTTTTAAAATTCTTTTCACTTTCATCCCGCACAGCAGTATATTTCATTTTGGCCACTTAAGCTTAAATTTTGTTTTCCTCGCACAAGAGGGGCAAGTATTTTGCTTGCAAATCGTCGGCATTTAATCCAATTTTGCGTTCTGCCGCTGCGTTAGTCGTACGATGGGAAAGTTCAAGTTGGGAAATGGAAAAAATATATTTGGTAATTAGTGAACTTAACCACGCCTGTTAAATCACATTTGAGGTTTTTTCGTTAGAAAGAATACCCAATATTTAAAAGCATCGCTTGCCTTTTTTTGTCCAAAAAACCCTAATTCGTTTTGTGTAACTAATTTAATAGTATTTTTTGACGCTTTGCTAATTTATGGAAATGTAATATTTGTGCATGCCATTTTCGTAGTTGTTTTTCTGCCATCGTATGGCTGGGCGGATCGTTAGCGCTGTTGGCCATTTTAAATGCTGCGAACACAACTCAATTAAGCCTGTAACTGACGGAGGCAGCCTCCCACTTGGCCATTTCCATTCCTGCCCTCCGAGCTGCAGAAATTCGCACAGCCCTCGAGTTAGAGTGCGATTCCGGCCACACTCCATGCCAATCGACGGCATCCGGATGGAGTGGGAATGGGATTGGAATGGGATGTTGAGTTGGGTTGAATTGGACTGGGTCAGAATGGGTCAGGATGGGTGATGGCGGAAGTGGGGTGGGAATATCTATCTGCCCGTCTGGCAGGTGTACAAGTCGTTTTGCCACTCCATTGCAGCAAGTCCAACGCCTGTGCGAGTGTCCGTGTGCGTGTTAATTACATTTGGCTTGCATTTGGGCAAAGTTGCCCCTCAAAATTGAATTACAAGTTTTTCGCTCGCCAGCATTTAGCAAAAGTGTTTTTTGTTCTCGCTTGCGCAATTTCACCACACATGGCCAGAGAATTCAGCTGAGGTTGGGAAATTTTCTCTTTATTCCGTTTCGGCAAAACTTGGCTCAAGTTTCTGGTTGGCAAAACGAAGAAAGAAAATAGTTTTCGCGACGGAAAGAACTTTGCCTAGCTGCTTTTAAATTTAACACATTAAATATCGGTGTTCGTTTAATATATTTATTCTTCCCATTCAGTTTGCAAAACAAAATCTTAAATTTTCCCCACAGAAAGGAGTTTGGTTTTCCTTTAAGTTTAAGCTACCTTGCAATGATATGATATGGTATGGTACGATATAAAGTATAAATATTCCTGATCAGGAAAAAGCCTTATTCCAAAAATTTGTAACTTATGCGATTGGAACGAAAATTTATGCACCTTACCAAAAACATATGGCTCGTTGTGATCGGGGCGCGATCAATGGAGATATAAGCCCTGAAAGTTCAAAAATATGTATTACTTTTTGTCCAAAAAAATTGAGGCAAGAATGGCAAAGTATTTGCCAATCAAGTCCAAATTCTAGGTAGGGTTGTAAAAAACATCCATCGATAATAAAAATAAATAAACACATTTTAAAATCGTTTGTGGGCGATTGTGGGCGTTATAGGGGGCGTGGCGCTCGGCTGAAATAAACTTGCGCTGCGTAGGAAGCCCAAGAATATGTGTGGGTAATCCCAACTTTCCAGCTTTTGTAGTTTCCGAGATATCAGCGTTTATACAGACAGACGGACAGACGGACATGGCTATAGCGACTCGGCTAGTGACCCTGATCAAGAATATATATACTTTATAGGGTCGGAAACGCATCCTTCTCCCTGTTACATACTTTTGCACGATTAGAATATTCCCTTTTACTCTTCGAGTAACGGTTATCAAATAAAAACACCTCTTAACGAGGTAAAATAGTGACGTATTTGTTGGCCTTGTGCCTTTGCTAATTGTGAGTATTTTGTTGATATCAAAACATTTACTAGTAGAATGAAAATTATTGGTTCTTGTCAATTAAATAGACTTTCTAATATTTTCTCATCCGGCCACGCCCTAGCAAACTATTCCAGCCTTTTTCCCTTTACAGGCAATTTTCTATTGCAGCGTGCCGAATGAGAATGTTTATTAGAAAGTCTATTCTTAATGACAAGTGTAATTTAACTTTTCGTCACAAATGTTGATATCAGAACTTTTGTATGTTGAAGGTGCGGTCGTCACTAGTTTTTTACCTCGTTAAGAGGTGTTTTTATTTGATATCAGAAGCAGGGAACGAAAATAACTGTTATTGTAAATTTTTCATACAAAAAAATCACGCACTTAGAAGGGTCCTAAAAATTTTTTTAAATACACCACAATTTTTATTAGCCATTGTAGTTTACAAATCCGTAATGATTTTTATTTTTTGATTTTTATAATAAAACTCAAAAAATAACTGTTATTTTTTGATTTTTATGAATAACAGTTATTCTATAACAGTTATCCTTGACATTTTTGAAAAAATGAAATAATTAAAAAACATGATACCCGTGCGTTTTATAACTTACTAAAAATTTGTTAAAAAAGGCAACCGCGCATATTTTATACCTATATTTTTTTAAAATTTTGTTTACCCACAAAATCGCCATAAATCAAGTTTGAGTTTTATTTTTGATCACGACGAATAACTGTTATTTGTCAACTTTTATTATAAAACTCAAAAAATAACAGTTATTCTTTGAGTTTTACTTTACAAATCAGAAAATAACTGTTAAAGTGTGATTTTTAAAATAAAACTTATAACAGTTACGTTCCCTGATCAGAAGTTTTTGTTTGTTTACATTTGCTCTCATAGGAGCTAATATATACATTTAAATTTAAATTCATCAATCAAAATACCTTTTAATCGAGGTATAGCACATGTCTGTACCTTTAGTAGTGTAGAACTTACAAACTAACGAAATTTAGCTATTTTTAGCTTTTTCCCGCTAAAGTAGCGGCTTTTTCCAAAAGTCGTAGAACAAAAGACTCCTATATGGAACTCTTAAGTGCAAATTTACTGATTCCATGACCCTAAAATACAGTTCGTATACCCTCACACAAAATTCAATACTCAGGGAGCGTTAATTGTTCGAGCTGGCAACAGTGGCTATTTTCGTATAAAAATAACTTTTAAACGTGACTTTTTACAGTAATGTGTTATATACCAAAATTTAAGGAATCTCAAGGGCTATACAGTTTAAGGTTTTAAACAAAATCGTTAGAGCCGTTTTTGAGGAAAATAAAAAAAGCTAAAAAAAAAGTTTTAAAAAATTGTCTTTTGTTCATATTTTTTTAACTATTACATTTACGCAAATTGCATATAGAAGGCATTTATAGCATTTAAGAAAACCTTTCAAACGAGATGCAGCACAAGTCTGTAGCTTTAGTAGTATAGAAGTTACGGCTTTCCGATTTTTAGCTATTTATAGCTGTTTTCCCGCTAAACTAGCGAGTTTTTCCAAAAGTGGTAGAACAAAAGTTTTTTATATCGATGTGATGAACGTCATATAAAATTTTCAAAACTTAAAAAACATGTTTTGGACAAACTGACAAACTGACAAACTGACAAACTGACAAACAGAATTAAATTTTCATTTTGGGAAGACGAAGAAAATCTTATTTTGGCTATAACTTTTGAACGGAGCGTCGGATTTTGACAAACGACCCCTCATTCGACGGGTATTTTCAAAAGAAATACAAGTAAAATATTGCGAGGGGGCAATTATCCCCACCGGCCCCAACAGCTCCAAATTTCGAAATTTTCACTTTTTCACTTTCACCGCTCTCTCTCCCAAGCCAATTGATTTTCTTAGAGTCTTGGTATGCAATCCTGTTAGTTTTTACAATACCTTTCGATAGGTGTATCATTCATTATGATCGGACCATCACAGTAGATTTTCATTTCTTCGTGTATATATAGTAGTCGCCTTCGCACACTCTCCTGGTGCGCTTCGTCACTACATGGACTGCCGTCCATAGTGATAATTACGAAAAATTAAAAAAAAGGGTATTAGGCATTTCTTTGGAGTCTCATCATGTGATTTTTGTAACTACATATAAAACATTTTACAAGTTAAACGTTATCTAAAAACTATGTAAAATTGGTTGCCATTATTTTATCGTAGCGACGCTGCTCCTTTGGAGAAAGTTTGCAAAAGTCCTTTTCGAACATCTTAAGTTCTTTTCTTGTGTGTAGCGGCGGCCAAAGTGAGGTATACGCCATAGTCCTGTTAAAAATGTTATGATTACAATAAGATTATTTTTACTTTGCCTATGAACCAATGAAATGGATCATATGTATGCTTAAACACATGTGTGCTTACCTTACGAATTGCCAGGCATTCTCAGCTGTCGGCTGATTGTCGATCAGGAGCTTTATTTCCCGCTTAAACTGCTGGGCGTACTCGTGCTTGGAACTGTGATAGCGCTCCAGACATCGAATCTGTCTAAAATAATAGATACTAATAATTATTTTGACTTTGATCTTTGATCTATATGTAATCTTACAGTGGTATACGGTGCCCTGAAAAGGTAGGGTCATGCACTGGATCCCTGTCGTCGTCAAATATAGTTTGATATATGGGAACGTAAACCTCATCTTCTGGAATTTGATAATTATTATCAATAAAATGTTTATCAAACTTATGGCGTCTTGTCATGGTTGTAAACGAGTACCGCGAGTCAGCGCTCGGTCGAAAACCGCTCCCAATAAAAGAAGCGTAAAAAGATTTCATTCCCATGCTCATCCTTTTGTCTTCCATGAGTTTCCTCTTTTCCTGAATCATGGTTTTCCGCTCAGTCGCTGCGCTTACTTTGCTCATTTTAAAAGATTCTGTAAAATGGATTGGTATCTCTGTGGATGAGTTATTTTTGCTATTTGACGAATCGAGTATTTTTGTTATAATACTGGTTATGTGTGATTGTTGACAGATCTCGAAATTTATAGGAATGCCTAGGCTACAATGATCCCATCCAAAGTCAAAATATATGGGTAATTCCACGTGAAACGTGACAGGCCCATTTGGGTCAAACCTCAGAATCAATCAAAACTTTTTTTTCGATAGAGGATTTTTTTTAACTCTTACTGTTTAGTTTTAAAAAATATTTTTCTAATTAAGCTCAGATTTTTAAGTTATGCAGAACTTGAGTAGTTTGAGATATTTAAATATTTGGTATGCAAATTTGTGGGACATCTTAATGTCTTTCAGAAAAATAGTTTAAAAATAAAAATTTTTAAATGAAGTATTTTTTAAGGGAATTTTAAATTAAAAAAATTCTGTCCGCCAGAATACACGCGGTTTCCGAATGAAAAAAAAGAGAAGAACGCTATAGTCGGGTGCCCCGACTATCAGATACCCGTTACTCAGCTAATCCGCCGTAACTTTTTAACGAATGGTCCGATTAAAAACTTTTTTTCTACATATAAGCGATTGTGGGCGTTAGAGGGGGCGTGGCACCGTTTTGAAACAAACTTGAGCTGCGTAGGAACTCCTAGAATTTGCTTGCAAAATTACAATCTTCTAGCTTTTATAGTTTCCGAGATCTCAGCGTTCATACAGACAGACAGACGGACAGACGGACAGACGGACAGACAGACGGACAGGCGGACATGGCTAGATCGACTCGGCTAGTGATCCTGATCAAGAATATATACACTTTATAGGGTCGGAAATGCTTCCTTCTAGCTGTTACATACTTTTGCACGAATACAATATACCCTTTTACTCTACGAGTAACGGGTATAATTATCCTCATATTGCCCCATCAATTCTTAATAAAGTGGTAAAATAAAATTTTGGTAATCGTTAGACCTTCTAGTAAAGACAACGATTTTAGTTTAGCAACTTTGCATTAAGCAACAACAGCGCAACGTGTTCGCATTGCTGTTCTCTTCTTACACGTTGCGCTGTTGTAGCTTGATGCAAAGTTGCTAATCTGAAATCGTTGCCTTTACTAGTAGGTCTAGCGATTACAAAACTTTTATTTTACCACTTTGTTAAAAATTGATGAGGCAATATGAGGATAATTTTTTCATTCGGAAACCGCGTCTATTCCGGTGGACAGAATTTTTAAAATTTAAAGTCCCTTAAAAAATATTTAAATATCTGAAACGAGTCTCTAGTGCTGCATAACTTAAAAATCGGAGCTTAATCAGAAAAATATTTTTTAAAAATGTACGGTAAGAGCAGGGACCGTAAATAACAGTTATTTGTGATTATACCCGTTACTCGTAGAGTAAAAGGGTATATTGTATTCGTGCAAAAGTATGTAACAGCTAGAAGGAAGCGTTTCCGACCCCATAAAGTATATATATTCTTGATCAGGGTCACTAGCCGAGTCGATCTAGCCATGTCCGTCTGTCCGTCTCTCCGTCTCTCCGTCTCTCCGTCTGTCCGTCTGTATGAACGCTGAGATCTCGAAAACTACAAAAGCTAGAAGGTTGAGATTTCCCACACATATTCTTTGGCTTCCTACGCAGCGCAAGTTTATTTTAACCGAGCACCACGCCCCCTCTAACGCCCACAATCGCCCACTAACGATTTTAAAATGGGTCCTGCGCCCACATCTTTAAAGATTTCCGAGAAGTATAAATGCACTTTTGTTGTGTATATTTATACCTATCGAAATGTAGAAGACATTTTTCAAATCGGACCATTCATTAAAAAGTTATACGCAATCAAAATTTATATATCTATCTCCCTCGCACTCCCTTTAGCTGAGTTACGATTATAGTCGGGACACCAACCCGAGTACAGCGTTCGCTTTAGCTGAGTGACGGGTATTAAATAGTCGGGACACCAACCCGACTATAGCGTTCTCTCTTGTTTTTATTTTAAAAAGACTACTGTGATATTTGGTTTTAAACGTCAAAAATAACGTTCTTTTTACTCTTGTTCACAAAGTATATACATTTCAACAAAACTGGAAAGCAAATTAACTGTTATTTGTTCATGTCTATAAAGTGCATAAAAACCAGTTAAACTGTTGATTAAAACTTGTACAAATCTCAGTAGGCCTTTTAAAAAAAATATCACAAATATCTGTTATTTACGGTCCCTGGGTAAGAGTTAAAAAAAAAAACAAAAAAAACCGATCCTTATATTTGAATCCTCTATCGAAAAAAAAGTTTCGATTGATTCTGAGATTTGACCCAAATGGGCCTGTCACGTTTCACGTGGAATTACCCATATACCAATTGGAAAACCTTGCAGTGATATTACGGATGGGAGAAACAAGTTTTGTAAAAAAGACTACTAAACAATAGCTTTAATTGTATAAGCCTTTAATAAAAGGGAACAAAATTAAAAATCTGCTCCGATAGGCTGCTCTCGTCATCTCTATAGACGGCAGTCACCGAAGAAGACTTCTAAAATTAAAAATCTGCTCTCAGAGTATGAAAACTTTCTAGATTTAATAACAAATTTTTTAAAAATAAGAAATTTTGTTGTCTATTTCCAAAGACGAGATTTGAAGGCGAATACATTAAATAAATACATTTTCAAAACTTTTTTCATTTGGCACGCTTTCTTAAAATTTTACAGCTTGACACCATTTTGCAATGCAGCGTGCCGAATGAGAAAAATTTAGAAAGTGTATTTACTTAGGGCATCATATAATTACACTGCAACAAAATTAATGCTTTTTAAATTTACCTCGATGGATGCGATATTTTTTAATTTGTAACGAATTCACAAGTTAAACTGCGTTTTCCAAAAAGTTTCCCGACGCAAGGATTCTTAGCACAGGGACCTCAAAGTTCGAAAAATCCTGAAATTGGCCAACTTTCCGGAGGTATCACAGGCATAGATGTTAAAGTTTTTTTACACTCCATATTTAGAATAATTGTAGTATTTTTTTAAGGGAGAAACAAATTCAAGATAACATTGTCAAAAACAAAAAACAAGTAAAACAAGAAAGGAAGCTACCTTCGGCCAGCCGAAGCTTATATACCCTTGTAGATAAAAGAATATTCACTCGGTGCAGTTCCAGGGATTCCAGATTCAGCGTTTCGATTTATTTCAATTTTGTTTTTAAGTAGTCAAGAATCAGAACGCCTACTTCCTACAAAGTTACAATGAATTTTCTTATATTTGTTTGGGAGCCTTAAGATATAGTGGTCCGATCCGGCTCGCTCCGACATATGTACTACCTGCAATAGAAAGAAGACCTTCGGGAAAGTTTCATCGCGATAGCTTTAAAACTGAGAGACTAGTTCGCATAGAAACGGACAGACGGACAGACGGACAGACAGACATGGCTAGATAGACTCGGCTATTGGTGCTGATCAAGAATATATATACTTTATATGGTCGGAAACGTCTCCTTCACTGCGTTGCAAACATCTGACTGAAATTATAATACCCTCTACAAGGGTATAAATATACACAAGAAAACTGCATATATACTTCTCGGAACTCTAAAGGTGTGGCCGCCAGACACATTTTAAAATCGTTAGTGGGCGATTGTGGGCGTAAGAGGGGGCGTGGCGCTCGGCTGAAATAAACTTGCGCTGCGTAGGAAGCCCAAGAATATGTGTGGGAAATCTCAACATTCTAGCTTTTGTAGTTTCCGAGATCTCAGCGTTTATACAGACAGACAGACGGACAGACGGACATGTCTAGATCGACTCGGCTGGTGATCCTAATCAAGAATATATATACTTTAAAGGGTCGGACACGCTTCCTTCTCCCTGTTACATACTTTTGCACGAATACAATATACCTTTTTAAACTACGAGTAACGGGTGACGCCGACCGAAAGAGATCCCCTGGGAGTTGCCTTTAACGTTGCTTAGCCAACACCGAAACAAGAAAGCCAGTCTTGTAGCGTAGAACAATAGCATAAACAAACAACGATGATGTTATTAACAGCACTAGGAGCCTTTTGCTCTACGCCCACATACAACCTCTACCTTGAAGCAAACATCCAAACAATAGAAAACAGAACCGAGTACTTAAAAGCAAAATCCATTCACACCATTTTACAGGCCAAAGACACCCCTCTAAATCAAATCATACAACGGATCTACAAGAAGAAAAATAAAAAATACAGAAAATCTACAATCAACAAATGCATAAATAGCTGTCAGCATTTAGATATCCCCATCTCACCTCCCCACAAGCTCAAACCATCAAAACCTCCCTGGCTTATGGACACAAGCCAAATAGACATCCAATTAAGCAGCGCCAAAAAATCATCCACAAATAAGGAAACTTACACACAAAAATTCCTAGAAATAAAGAATAACCTGACGAACAAGAATTTTAACTTCCTCTATACTGATGGATCCAAAAGCCAAGAAATAATTGGTCTAGCAGTTACCTCAGAAGAGGAGGTTATTAAAAAAGCCATTCCACCGAATTACTCATCGGTATTTACAGCAGAGGCAATTGCAATCCTGGAAGCTATTAAAATAGCCACAAAAAAAAGGGGGAAAACCTGCATTTGTTCAGATTCTCTTTCAACATTGGAAGCTATTCTAAACATTAACAATGAGTCATTCTATATTGCAACGATCCGAGATTTACTCATAAGAAACACGACAAAAATCAAACTGTTATGGGTCCCCAGTCACATTGGGATAAAAGGTAATGAATGCGCCGATGCAGCAGCTAAGGACGCAACAGTATCACCCCTAATCACCATCCCGAATTTAAACCGCACCGACATCAACAAACTCCTAAAAACCAACCTCCTGAAAAATCAGTCAAACCTTCTCGATAAAGCGTCCCCTTGGTACAAAAACATAAGTCTATCAACGAAAAACATCAACGACTACACTAAAAATCCACAAACTAGCAACTTACCAAGAAGAGAGCTAACCAAAATCATCAGACTTCGCCTAGGACACACAAGACTG